TAAGATAACTCCCACCTGTTTATGCCCTCTGTATGTGTGTATATATATCTCCTCAATATTTATTCCATTCTATATGCATCCGAAGAAGTGGGCTGTAGTCCACGAAAGCTTATGCTCTAATAAATCTGTTAGTCTCTAAGGTGCTACAAGTACTCCTGTTCTTTTTGCTGATACAGACTAACACGGCTGCTACTCTGAAACCAGTTTTCATCAGATAAACTGAGAGGTTGCTGATTCTATGGATGAGAATATTTTCCATGCTATGACAAGAATGAAATCCAGACTAAAAATTAAAAGTATATCATCGTGCAAGAGAGAAGGAAAATCTACTTTCCCACACATTGTCAAGACCACATACAGTACAGCAATGTAAAACAGAACAGGAAACATGGAGGGAATAGGCCATTTACAATAAAGTAATTGTAATCAGCGGATCAGCGACACAAAAAAGTGATCCAAGTTATTTTACAGAAGATAATGCAGCAGACTAATCTCCACAGGCAAGGTTCATGTTTGTGTGGGTTACTTATTCTCTTACTATTTACTAAGTAAACAATCAGAATCAGCAGCTTTGAAGTCATACAGCATTTGATAAGCAGCCTAATTTGAAGGGATTGGGTATAAAATCCCAAATCCCCTCAGTTTCTAGTTGCTGACACTGTGAGACTCAAACTGCAAGCAGAATGGCCTTTCGTTCTTTGCTCCTTGTTTTCTTAGCTGGACTGGTGTTTTTCTCTGAAGCTGCACCATTGGTAAGTGTTTCGGTATTGAGGTGGCCTTTCACATGTGATCGACGTAACCTACCTCATCTTTCTTTTTTAAAATGATGAGAATTGGAATAAGTGAAAGACAAATCAGTCTATTTTATTACATTTATTTTAATTGTATATTGTGTGTTGGCCCTGCACTCTCCTACCTCTTTTCTTATTTCTACAAAAAAAGTGCTTTCCCCATTTGCTGTAGTTATTTATGTTGATGAAAGCAGTAGATAAGTAGTAGCACCTGCTATCAGGACAATTTCAACTGCCATTAAAAAGGACCTTCCCTCCCAAATATGTTTCAGCTTTGGGAGACTGTGGAGAAGCAACTCCTTCCCTCACAAGACATCAAAGCCATCATCAGCTGAACATCATCTCAATGGGGAGTACTGGTTGGGTGGATATATGACATGAGAATTCATCTCCCAGCAGGCCTGCCAACTGCTGCCTACTGACTCACCTGCTAATTCCTTCTGCAGAGAAGGGAAATGAAGTGGTGCCTGGTCTCTTCTCTACTCACTCTTCCTTTATTGCTCTAGGTCTCCCCATCACCATTCTGTAGTTGGAATGGATTGCCACATCCACTGCTCTGAAAAAGGCCTGGGACCAAGTCTAAAGCCCCCTTTCCCCTCCTCTCACTTCTGGTTGCACTCATGTGGCTCTGAAAAATGTGGGAGATCCGCATACTGTGTAGCCTGTTGATCTCCCCCAGCAGCATTGCCCTTGTACTCCCACTCTGCTCCACAGGGCCACTTCTGATGTTTGGAGAAGCTAGTCCATATGATTTTGGTGTGGAGAAAAACAAGTTTTGCTTATCCTGCCCTCCACACCCTGACAAAGCTTCTGAGATGATGGCTCAGAAACTCCTTTATCCATAGAAGTTGACCACTCCTGCTACAATCTGCCCCACTGATTACATCAGAAACCTCAGCAGGCAGGAGGCTCTTCATCCTAGAAATTGGGGTGAATGGGAGGGGGGAGTGAGAAAGTCAAGCAAGGGCACAGAGTTTATTTCAGTTTGTTAGTTTAATAGATGAGCTTTTCTCAGGCTATGTGGCAGAATCCCCAGAGGTGAGGTAGATTGTCATGGGTCCCCAGAAGGGATTTCAGGTGAGGGAAGGGGTCATACAGTTTAAGTTATTACAATTTTTAAGTAAGAACCTTTCTTTTTTTAAAAATTCAGAAACTGAAACCTGATTTTTGAAACCAATGATGGTTAAACACTTGGTAATTATCACTAACCAGCAGCTACCATAGAGTTTTAGTTTCTTTTTTATGTAAGGGGTTATGGGAGGGGCATGGCCCTGTTTTATCCTCATTCCCTCTGGGGTTGCTGGCTTCTCAGGGAGGAAGCAGTCACTGATCTAATGAGCACATGGAATATAACTGTTGCAGGCTTTGTGCAGGGGAAGCTTCGTATACCTTTCTCACCCATGCACACTTGCCCAAGGGCTGACCACAGTCTGGCCCATAATGGGGTTATGATAGCGAGAGAGAGCACATGTGCACGGCTTGCCACAGTTGAACAAAAGGAGAAATGGGATAATGTGACCACCGTGAAGCCTCTCCTGACTCCTCTAGCCCCCACACTAAAACAAGGAGATCAGGCTGTTGGATTCCAAACCATCCACTCCCCGCTTCCAGGATTAAATTTTTATTCTGTCATCTGTGGGCTTGGTTGTGCCAGTTAGCAACAACTCTGCACTGGATGCTAGTCAGAACTGCATCACCCCAGAACCAAGTGCGGAGAGGCATTCTGTCTCTGAGGACAGGTTCTCAGTGCACACGAGTGCACCCCTTTGTAGGGTGCAGTATATGCTCACTCCCTCTGATCCTGCAGGCTACATTTTTGTATTATACAGTAAACTTGTGTAGTTGGCATATGAAAATGTGATACCCTCTAATTCTAAAACATGCCATTTCTGAAGGACATGCTTTATCATGGCCCATCACTCCTATATAATTTGCTATACAAGAATTACATCTCTCTTTTCCCTACATGCAGGACTCTCATGATTCCAAGCACCCTCTTGTTGTGAAAATTCTAGATGCAGTCAGAGGAAGTGCAGCTTCCAGTGTACCAGTTAAATTATATAAAAAGGCTGATGATGGGACCTGGCAGCTCTTAAGTTCAGGGTAAGTCATATAATACAATGAGAAGGGGGGCGAGGGAGGCATTGAAAGAGGCCAAAGATTAGAAAACTCACCTTTTACATGCATTCATCTTAAAAACATATGTATAATGTCATTAGTTACAATCTGAGAAGTAATAAGGTAATTTATGCCTACACCAAATATTTACTGTGTGTGTGGGTCTCTTCTAAACAATTATAGCTGCAAAGCTAGCAGACTGACTCCTGGATGGTTTGAAAAAAATTGTAAACACAAGGGAGGTAACTCAGAGGCAGCATGAAATGTGGTATAGAAAAAAGACGGTTACTCACCGTTGTAACTGTTGTTCTTCGAGATGTGTTGCTCATATCCATTCCATTAGGTGACTCCCCAGCCCAACTTAGGCGCTGGGTGCGGAGTGAGACATTGCTGTGTGCAAAACCGCTGAACCAAAGGCAGCATCGTCCCTGGACTGCTGCACTAGTGCATAGTGAGCTGTAAATGTGTGGACTGATGACCAAACCGCAACTCTACAAATGTCCTGGATCGGAACTTGCGCCAGGAAAGCCGTCGAGGAAGCTTGGGCCCTCGTAGAGTGAGCGGTGAGGTGCGGTGCTGAGACACCTGCCAGATCATAGCAAGTCCGGATGCAAGACGTAATCCAGGAGGATAGGCGTTGTGAGGAGACCGGTGAGCCTTTCATTCGGTCGGCCACTGCGACGAAGAGTTGCGTCGTCTTTCTAAAGTGCCTTGTGCGGTCAATATAGAAAGCCAGGGCCCTGCGTACGTCCAGAGAATGCAAACGTTGATCCTGGCGAGTAGCATGTGGTTTAGGATGAAAGACCGGGAGAAATATATCCTGATTGATATGAAATGGAGAAACCACCTTAGGGAGAAAGGCAGGATGTGGACAAAGCTGCACTTTATCCTTATGGAAAACTGTGTAAGGGGGCTCGGATGTAAGCGCCCTGAGTTCAGAAACGCGCCTCGCTGAAGTGATGGCTACGAGGAAGGCGGTCTTCCAGGGTAGGTACAGAAGTGAACAGGTGCCCAGCGGCTCGAATGGAGGACCTGTGAGCTTGGAGAGAGCCAGGTTGAGGTGGCGCGTTTGAACGGGCTGACGTGGGTGTGGGTCCATTCGGTCTCCGCCCTTGAGGAATCTACCGACCATCGGATTAGAGAATACCGAGGACGCGAGCTCCCCTGGGTGAAAGGCTGATATAGCGGCGCGGTGACCTCTAATTATAGATCTCGCTAACCCGAACTTATTGACTGATAGGAGATATTCCAATAT